TGTGCAATTTTTAGAGTTAAGGGATTCAAAAAATGCAAAAAATTGTTAAGAGACCAAAAATGTGCATTTTGTAAAGTTGAGGGACTAAATTTAGCATTTAACTTTAACAGAATAATCAATAGTAGAGATCATGATAATTAGAAGATTATTGTCTTCTAATTAAAAGGGCAAACAAAAATCAAAGCAGCTAGATAAAAAAACCATTTCTCTTGGAACAAAACTCTAGGGCATCAGGCACTTTAAAGACTACCCCTTCACCTCGTAGCCCATGGAGGCTAAGCAGATTTACAATCAAGTCATCCTAAACATCCTAGAGTCAAGTCAAAGCTAAGACATCCAAAATACAGAGATTAACACTTGCAAGAGACTAGAATGAGGATGCCTCATATAGGTATTTTCTAATAATCATCACCCTTCCTAAAGAGGTGTTCATATGAACAAAATCAAAAATCAAGAAGATCATTAGGTATACTAAAACAAGAACTAGCAAAATGTGCAGGATTTGAGCAAGAGCAGTATACAGAATTTGAGCAAGAGCAAGAGTCAAGACAAGAATGGTTTTCAAGTACAACTCAAAATAGATTTCAAGAACAGTGCAAGAATTAATTTCAGACAAGTATCAAGATAATGAGGATTTCAATAATCATTATTCATTTCTGGATTTCAGTTTCAAGAACAAGTACAAAGCAATATCAAGAAAGATTCAAGGCGAATTTCAGGAGTTTCAAGTAGTTTCCAAGTATCAAGAATGCAGAGATTAACAACAACAGAGAGGTTAACTTTATGACAATTTGCCAATCTTCACAACAACACGGCAATTTCAATTGAATTGATCACTATTTTTGAGTAACCAATATAGAAAAATGAGCCACATGAAAAGACCATGAAGCTCCAAATGGAAAAAGTGAAACTTTACTATAAGACTTTCAGAAGATAAGGAGCAACAGAATTACCAAGTTATCCAACTCCTAAAACGCATCTAGAAAACACACAACAACAATTGCTAAAATAGCCTTGAATCTCTTACAAGGTAGAGGGGTGCCCATCTTCCACTGGTCATGTGACAAATAGAATGAATTTCTCAACCAGCTATGCTGTAGAGACCAACAAGATAAATAACCAAAGATCTCTGTAACTCCCTAGATTTTACAATTGTGGCAAAAGAGCATACAAAATTCTATTCAAGTAACAAGTCTAAACAAATGCGGACTATCAGAAAATGACCAAGTTTCAAAACAAGGTCTTAAGCACATGGCGGACAAGATTAATTTCATGAATTTACACAAGGTATGAAGGCATGAAACAAGAATAATCAGATTACCATCTCATCAAAATGGATTTGAAAATTCAGGCAACATGAATCAGAATCGTCCCTCATATAACCCCATCACTCGTCTCACCACGGTTCTAAAATCCATTGGCCAGCCAAATTATAAACAAATCCTAGGTATTCAATTAAACCTAGGTATTTAATTAAACTTAAGCTCCAATACCACTCAATCTGCT